ACTGCCAAATGTGGCCTGGCTGGTGATGGAGCTCTTATTTTGGATTTGCACACGATTTCAACACGTGTAGCAAAGTCACGGGAGCAGAGGGAGGAAATCAGATTGTCATTCTTTCTTCCTGTTAAATAGAAAAAATAGAAGTTCTACATTTGCTTTGTACCCCTATGACTTGACTGTTAAAGAGCAGAAGAAAAGATGCCACTTTCCCATTGCAGGAATGGGATTAGTACTCTCTCTTCCCTCTCTGCTCTTGGATCGGGCTTTCCTTGCACAAGTCTGACAGTGTTTTTTAGCACAGGTACAAAAGATTTGACATGCCCATTTAAGAAAGCTAACCCTATACCAGAAATGTTAAGAACCAGCAAACGTAGAAGCATATGTTACATGCGTATTGTACGTATGAGTCTCAAGATTGTTAGGTCAAATCTAACCAGCTCTCACATTGACAGTCTATAAATATAAAAAACTCATCATGATGTTTAAGCATTTATTAAATCAAAAATCTTGTTCTATTATATGCATAGTGTACTATTTTTTAAATGATAATTTACTTTTTTCCGTTTACAGTGACTTTCTATGATGTATCAGTTGTCTTACAAGCTTTTATTCTGACTACTGCTGTGTTTCTTGGGTTGACTGTGTATACTTTGCAGTCCAAGAGAGATTTCAGCAAATTTGGAGCAGGGTAGGTTCCCTTATCAGACTATCTTAAAAGCACAAGTATTACAGATACAGGAATAAAAGTCAGGCCTACAGAAAGCTGAGTTGTGTAATTGATTTAAGGGAATCTTATGGGTGTTCTGAGTTTTAATTTTTGTTTTTATATAGGCCCCTCCTTTGGCAAATAGGTTATTTTGCAGTTTTGTTATTTATGTTAACAATTTTAAAACGATAATATTAGTATTACACTAGCAAACTATTTATTTGTATTTTTCACTGAAATATTAGGGAACTTTCAAATAGCAAATCATCAACAGGAGTTTTCATTGCTACCTGCAACAGAGAGATTTAATGTTAGGGTTGGCATCTTAGAGGTGGGTGGGTGTGAGGGGGTGTTTGTGTGTATTCACATATATATGCGAATAAATGTTAGACTATTCAAGGTGTTTTTCTGTGGGATGGAAAAATTTGAAGAAAATTTTGAAATAATAGTAATATAGCTAACACACAAATGTCTTTTTTTTCCAGGCTGTTTGCTTGCTTGTGGATTTTCATCCTCTCCAGTCTCCTGAGGGTAAGATATATTGTGTTCAGGGCTAGAAGTGATTGTTTGACATAATTAGTAACTAAAACAAAATACTTAGCACCTAATTATATATATATTTTTAAAAGAGTACAATTGTTAGAATAGGACATGCTTGAGAACTCAGAGTAAAATCTATACAAGTCTTGGAATAGAATTATCAAAAGCGTCAAAGTGACTTAGGATCATCAGTCTGATTTTCAATACACTTTGACTTTCAATAAGACCTGGGCTCCTAAGCCACTTGGGTGCTGTTGATAATTTTATCCTTGATCTATAATAAGCCAATGTATCATGTATGTATCTCCAATTGGCTAACTCTAAGGGGAATTGACTACAAGTTAATGTAGTGATGAATTATCTGTAATTAAACTTAAAATGTACTGCTTAGTCACCATTTTGTAGAAATCTTTCATTTATATTGTAAGATTAAAAGCGGTGGGTATTTGCTGATGCAATCTATGAACGTTATTGGCACAGGTTATGTTGTAACCTTTTGACCACATTTTTCAAATTGATTTCAGTAGGATGCTGGTTTTTTTGGCACTGTAAAATTGGGAGTATGTTTGATTGGGAAATAACTTAATCAAACTATATTTCTGGGTTGACCGGGTGCAGGCAGGATGGCCACTTTTTTTTTCTTCATTGTCCTTCACTATTACTGTCCTGAAAGTAGAGCTTCCTCTGAGGCATTGCTTCTAATGACACAAATTTGGAATGATAGGGATAGACCAGCTGTTCTCAAACTGGGGGTCGGGACCCCAAAGTGGGTTGGGATCCCATTTTAACGGGGTCACCATTAGACTTGCTGGGACCCAGGGCAGAAGCCCGAACTCCACCCCCACCCAGGGAGTGGCGGGGCTCAGTCTTCACCCTCCTCCTCGGGTCATGTAGTAACTTTGTTGTCAGAAGGGGGTTGTGGTGCAATGGAAGTTTGAGAACCCCTGGGATAGACAACATTGAAGGCCTGGTAGGAATTTGTCTGTTTTTGGTAAACTGGCTCTAGCATACAGCCTGCACTTTTTTGCAGAAAATACATATTCAGTTTGTCATTGTCTTACTCCTTGAGTTTGGAATACTGCAACAGCAGTGTGCTTAGCCCCTGGGCAGTACTTTGCGTCACCCAGTAGCAACCCCCCCAGCTCATTTAGGCCCTTATCCTGCAAATACTTATGCATATGCTTAACTTCACTACCGTGACTAGTCTTACTGAATCATTAGTATATGTGTAAATATACTGAGTTTTGAAGTAAATCATATCTAATTCATATCTCCCAGAAGAATGGCGACACTGACCTAAGACCTCAAGGGTGGGGGTGTTAATTTGAGTGAGGAAAACAAAAGTTTGGAATTTCCTCTTCTACTACTGGCTTTTAGCAATATGTATATTCCTGTACAAGGGCAAAATATTTACAATTGTCTAGTTGTAATTTTGTTTTCATACTAAAGTGCCTTTGTATAAGAAATTTGAACTTACAAATGTTTTCCCTTCTCACGTTATCATTTGGTTATAGCTGTTTTTCTATAGTGAGACAATAGAGCTGTTGTTTGCTGCTGCGGGAGCGCTGCTGTTCTGCGGATTTATCATCTATGACACTCATTTGCTGATGCACAGACTGTCCCCTGAAGAGTATATATTGGCTGCCATTAATCTCTACTTAGATATCATCAATCTGTTCTTGCACCTGCTGCGCCTACTAGAAGCATTAAATAAAAAATAATTGTAGGCGATCTGTAGTGAAACTCCTCCTCAAATAGTTAAATTTGGTTTATAGAGGGTTGTGTCTAAATAAGGCTGGTTTTGATTATATACAAACTGCAGTATATTTTGAGACTGAATTTTCCTGTTTTTCCATTCCATGGTTACTGAATCTTTTTCTTAGAAATGAAAGGGTTTTATGTAACTGATGAGTTTTTGCTCAAAATATATATTTTACTTTAATTGCACACTGCAGCCATTTCAGTTACGTTTGTAAAGGCTTTATTTGTGACCAAGGTAGCTTTTGATGAAAATGCTTGTCAACTTCTGATAGCCCTAACATGAACAGTCAGAAAATCCCATCATTTTATTTCTGCTATCCTATAATTGTTCTGGATGGTTCCTTTGGAATCATAAGTCTGTCTGGATAGTATAAAATCAAGCCTCTTCATTTTGTTAGTGTATAGTGATATTTTACATAAGCTAAAATTTTGTCATTCTAAAAATGTATATTAGTGGGCTCTTGATTTGAAAGCCTTGGAATTATTAACTAGTAAAACATAACTACACTTCCTTTAAAATATTTTAATCTACTCTGGTTTAGAGCTATGAGATTATTTTATTACCAAGGTCAAGTATAAACAGAACAATATAGAGAGTTAGGCAATAAATAATTGAGCAGTCTATCTTTCAGCTGTTGATTAACATAAATATCATTGAAAGATGGAATGTGGTTTTGCGGATATAAAAATGTTGACTCACCATTGAATTATAAATGTTTGCATGCATTAAGATTGGAAAATCGTAATCCTAAAATCTGTTCATCTAGCTGTATGAATTGGAGAGCTCCAAAAATCACATATCGGAGAGAACTAAAAATGTAAACCATTGCTTAGCAGCAGTACTTGTAACTTGGGAAACCTGGGTACTGTTGAAATGTAGGTTCTCTTTTCCAGGCTGGTGAAATTTTGGAATGCCAGTAAGGGGAGGCAAAGTGAAAGTTGTTTTTAGCAATAAAGAACTGGGATAGTTTAAGACCAGGTATGCATTTGGCTTGCTGAGATGTTGGTCAAGGAGGACTGTAAATGAATGTTCTACTTGCTGTTATATTTGAGCTGTATTAAGAAATATAATAAAATTTTAAATGTTTAGTAACAAGGTCACATGTCTCAGTCTTTGGGGTTATTTACATTGTGTGTGTTTACTGTTAGTTTTATCTAGAAAATAGCACCTTATTTTCCTCGGGTTTTATCAGCAAATAAAATGTTGGATGTGTTGAACACATGATTTAGTATCAGAATATGATCAATCGTGAAACAAAAGCCAGGAAGACTAACTTAGCCATCCTCCAATATAGCTAATGTGTACGTTTATTAACTGTTGAAGGACCAAGTTCTCCTAGGTATTTTCACCCTGCGTCAGGGGGCTTTTTATTAGATAAAGCATTTTCCTCTAAGTAAACTAGTGTCTAATTCAACAGCTCAGATCTGTCTCTGTACTCCTGGGCAAAGCAGCAGTGCCTTGCAAACAGTGACCCACTGTCTAGACTCTAGAGCAGTGGCTCTCACACTTTTTTACTGGTGACCCCTTTCACGTAGCAACCTCTGAGTGTGACCCCCCCCCTTATAAATTAAAAACACTTTTTACATATTTAACACCATTATAAATACTGGCGGCAAAGCAGAGTTTGAGGTGGCGGTTGACAGCTCATGACCCCTCATGTGATAAGCTCGCAACCCCCTGAGGGGTCCCAACCCCCAGTTTGAGAACCCCTGCTCTAGAGACTGTAGAATACTGGGTAATGCCTCAGTTTCTGTAGCTGTTCTGCTCCAAGACCAGCAGGGGTCTGGCCGCAGGGCTGCTGTTGCTGCACAGCAGCTCCCTGGGAGACTGACTGCAGAGAGGATCCATGGCCCAGCCAAGACTGATCCCGTGCCAGCTAGGGACCCCAGCTTCGCGCTGGTCACCACGTGCCTGGCCCCACGCGCACTCCCTTTTTCAGGAGACGTTTGCTACAGCCGCCCCCGCTCTGAACAGGTTAACTCAGCAGCTCACAAGCCCCGCCCCCTGATGTGGCTCTATACGTGTACGGGTTCCACCATTACCCCGCCCCGCAGGGCTGCGCACGCGCCGCACAGACACCGGAAGGCAAGTGCTGTTGAGCAACTGGCAGTTGGGCGCGTGGAGGAGCCGGCTCCGTGCGACTCTCGGTGAGTGGATTATGGAGCGCGCGGCCCCGGCCGGGAGGTGCCCACGTGCGGCCCCTGCCCAGTGAAGCGTCCGAGCCCGGCGGTCGCGTACTCCGCCGGGGCCTTCCCGCATAGGGGGATGGGTATGCGCGGCCGCCTGTGAGTGTCGCGGGACGGGTCTGGGCGGAGACCTTTCCCCTGTAGCGACTCCCCCCGCTCGAGCCGCGCTCCAGCCCACGGGCAGCGCCTGCTCTTACCTAGGAAACCCGGGGCACGTGGGCTGCACGCGGCCCGGGGGCGGGGCCAGTTCACGGCTGTGTCCAGCGAGTGAGTGGGGCTGCTTGGAGCCCACCCACATCTCAGCACAGGGCTAGGGGCCGGGCTTCTCCGCGCCCACTCGGGGTCCGGGGTTTGTTGGGGGGCGAGGGGAAGTGGTTGGTTTAAATGTGAAGTGTCCAATTTTGGAAGCTAAGTTTGTTGTTTTTTGGGCACCTCTCCCTCATCTCAGCTAAAACGAAAAATGGCCAAGAGTTTAAGGAGTAAATGGAAGAGAAAGATGCGAGCTGAGAAAAGGAAGAAGAATGCGCCGAAGGAACTCAGCCGGTTAAAGAACATTCTGAAAGCAAATGCTGATATTGTAATGGAGGAGGTTAAAGAAATAGCAACGGTCGTCACTCCCGAGAAAGTCAAAGATCAAGGTGGTGAGTTTGATTTTAACTTTGCAGCGCTATTTATTGGTCTCCAGAGGAAAAAACAACCTAGGTTCTGAAACATACAGCTGTGAATCTATGCTGTGGGTCAGACACTTCATGGATTCTGTTGGCTGAGCTCAGAGCACACCTATGGGGCTACTTGCATCCCTCCATTCCTCCCAAGAGCTCCCTGTGTGTGCCACCCTCCCATCCGCCTTTATTTCGTGGATTCCCTGCAACCACTTCCTCCCTCGTGCACCTCCCCACAACCACCTTTCTGGTTTTCAAGCCTGGAATGGAGTAGCAAGGGGGGTGGGGAGGGGAATTGCTTTTTTAAAAAACTTGTTTTTCATTCTAGTTGGTACTAGTGACCCTTCATTTCACCCATCAACACTAGAGAAAAGACAATATCTATAATCAATAGTAGCTCTTAACTGTAATAGCATAGTCCATGTTGTTCCTCTCTCCTAACAACAGACTCCATTACCAGCTCCTGCTCCTAAGTTCCATGGGTTTGCACACTCCCTCCCACATCGAGCTATCGCCTGCTCTCAGCAACAGATACTTGGCTTGGGGAAGAGCATCTGACCAAATGCACACTCCAGACCCGCTTCTTTGCCGTGGCAAACAGCATTATTTAGAAGGGATCACCCTGTGTTGCATTTTTTTGGAGGCACAAACAAATCTCTTATGGAAACTCCTGATACTGTCAATACCGAGACTAAAAAAATTGTGGCATGTTTGAAAAGAGATTATTTCGGTTACTGTTTGTAAATCTAGTGCTTCTAAGTATCCTGTATGAAGCTGATTCAGATGTTTTTATTGACTTTTGTAAATGCTTTCTTTTTTCAGACGAAGTGAAGATGGACACACAGATTAAAAGAAACAAAAAGAATCTTTTAGACCAACATGGACAGTACCCAGTATGGATGAATCCCAGACAGAGGAAGAAGCTTAAGGCAAAACGGGCTAAAGGAAAAAACAAATCCAAGGTGGCCAAGGGATTAGCATGGTAGCTTCAAAGAAGTTTGAAGGATGGGAAAGAGACTATGTAGAAAACGGAGGCCACCTCAGGCTGGGTCCAGCTACCAAGTGTAAATTATCATTAAGTCTGGAGACTCTATTAGATCAGAAATTGATGAAAGGGACATCAATTTTATATCTAGTTAACTCATTTTCTTTTAAATTAAGTGTTTCACCTGCCTTTGAGTCCTCTGACCAATATTTGTGGTTATGCATTTTTAAATATTTTTCTCACTTGTTGCTGTGTTGGTCTTGAACACAGGAACAACTGTAGAAACCATGGAACCACCTATGCACCGTAGGAGGTAAAATATTTTAACAGAAACATGTTCTGTAAATTGACAGTGTCCTTCTAATTTTCCCGTAGAACTTTTTTTTTGAGTTCTGATGTGTTTGTTTTAATATTGAAGTATTAAATTATGAAAACATATTGTGTGACTTTATATAGACATTATAAACTGAAATTTGGTTCAAATTGAAACATTGAAAACCCAAGACCAATAAAAATGTTGCTATTAATTATTTTTAAAAATTTGAATAGAAATGGTTATTTTTAAACAAAGAAACCTTGTGTTTGCAACCCAAACATTATCCTACTTAGAAATTGAAAGTAAAATAGACTTAATGGATTTTCATTGTCCATCTGAAAGAATGCAAAGGCATAAAGAGTAAAAATAAAATAAATATAAACTGTACTTTAAACATTTTTCTGAACAGTTGTAATATAGGTAAATAAACATGTTGGCAATATATGTGTGATTTTTTTTAAAGTAGACAAATATCTCCTTAATTTGGTATTCCTGTATCCTACTTTACGGAGTAGACACAAGATCCCAAGTATCGTGTGATTACATAGCAAATGCTATTTAACTGCATCCAGTTACCTGTTGCATATTAATCAACAATAGTACATAATGACAGATATGAGAATGTTACCCTATATCTTTACAAGAAAGGCTCTTGTTTCAAAAATGGATATAATTAAGATCCCACTCATGCAATATGTTGCCCACTTAAGGATCTTTTACCCACAGATCCCCACCCATGTAAAGTGTATTCCAGAACTGGGACCTAAGTATTCTGATTGCCCAATGGTTACATGGCGGTATGTGTAATAGGTAGTAACTGCAACACAAAGGAAATAAGATTTATGCTTTTTAGCATAAAGAGATACCAGTTTAGGTACTACATTAAAAACAAACAAATGTTGGTCAGCTTGGTGTTGTCGTTACACTGGGCTGCCCAGAGGATTCAGGGGGCTTGGGGCAAAGCAATTTCGGGGGCCCCTTCCATAAAAAAAAGTTGCAATACTATAGTAACATGTATTTGGAAATGTAAAAAATAACTAGTGAAATACATTCAAAAATTAATTTGAAAAAACACTAAATACATTATTAAAAACATTAAATGCTTTAATGGTATGTATACATTTGCAATTACATAATGGGCTGTTGCTGGGTCATGGTGATGGTTAGTGCCAATGGGCTGTCGCTGCCTGGGGGTGGTGTTGCTGTTGCCCAGGGCTGGGTGGGGAGCTGGGCTCTGGGTTAGGGGGTGCCTGGCTCACAGGGACTGGACTCAGGGCTGTGGGGAGATGGAGTCAGGGGGGGTGTCTCACTCAGAGGGGCTGGGCTTGGAACTGGGGGTCAGGGCTGTGGGGGGATGGGGTTAGGGGGTGCCCTGG